TGTTGTAAATTTTGCGTGTGGAGAGTCGTTGGCCCCATGCCGCCATGGACACAGCGTCTGCAGAAAGGCCTGATGCTCTGAACGATCGTTGGACAATGTCCAACACGTCAAGTGAAGATCGTTCGGCGCTGGACGGAGGATTCTTGAGCTGGGTTGACGAACAATATCCTCCCTGTGCGGAAGGATCAGTGGTCGACAAACCAGGAGCCTTGTGAGTCTCGGGAATCACAGTTGTCGAGGGAATGAGGGATATTGGAGGAAAGGTGTATGCCAGAGGGCCGGACCAATTCACCTAAAGAGCATCCATCGCCCAAGCTCGCAGGTGTGGAGACTTTGAGCAAAACGCTGGAAGATTGGTATTGTCGGCCGATGCGAAGAGGTCAACGTGGGGGCGCTTGATCTCTGCGAAGATTTGGGTGACCACACTCGGATGTAGAGTCCACTCTGTAGAGTGGACAGCACCTCGAGCGAGAGTGTCTGCTGTGTTGTTGGTCATTCCTGATATGTGAACGGCCTAGAGAGTGATCCCGTGATCGATCACCCACATGAAGATCTGCCATGTAAGGACGCATAGCTGGAGGGGAGCGAGTACCGCCTCGGTGGTTTATGTACGTTACAACTGTGGAGTTGTCGCTCTGAATTCGAATTGAGAGACCCACTAAGTGCTGCTGGAAGTGACGAAGGATGTTGAATACTGCCTGAAGTTCCAGCAGGTTGATGTGTTTGTTGCAGGAGGAAGAGTCCCAAATTCCAGATGCATAAAGCAGAGGAAGGGAGGCCCCCAATAGTGGGTCTCTCTTAGTGGGTCTCTCGATTCACCCGTTGTCATCGTGATGTTTGGCTTTGGAGGAACAAAAGGACGACCTGCTGACAGGTGCTCGCTGATGGTCCACCACTGGAGGTGGTTGCGAACATCTGGTAGAAGAGGAACCAAGGATTGCTCTTAGAGTGATACTGAAAAAGGAGCTGTAGTTGAAGTGGCCGCATCCGCAGTCGACATCAAGGAACGAAGTCGACGAGGCTGGCCATAAATCTGAGAAGGCGGAGCCAAACCAGCACCGGAAGAGCCTTGGAGCACAGGAACAAAAGGGTGCATTGCTGCAGATTGAGGATGCGTTCCGGTGACAAAGTCGGAACACCTTTGAGAAGATTGAGAACTGCCCTCAGGTGGGTCAGCCGTTGTGATGGATCAAGGGCCGACTTGTCGTAATTGATGAGGAACCCTAGGCGTGTCGTGACATCGAGGGTGAGGGAAGTGGCAGAACTTGCTTTGTCAGGGCAGCGGATGACGATCAACCAGTCGTCTAGATATTGAAAAATATGGACTTCGCGCTGTCGTAAGTAGGCGGCAAGAGTCTTGACGATCCTGGTGAAGACCCTTGGTGATGTTGAGAGACCGAAAGGAAGGGCCTGAAACTGAAAGGTCCAGTTGCAGTATTCGAAGCAGAGGTACATGTACTTGCAGTGTTGCATGTGTATTGGGATATGAAGATACGCATCCCATAGATCTATCAAGGTGGCCCAGCACGGGAACAGGTAGAGAGGGTAGGACCACACTCAGAGTCTCCATTCAAAACCGCCTTGGCCTGATGAACTTGTTAAGCGGTTTCAGGTTGATCGTTGGTTGCCATTTTCCCGGGTCTTTTTTGGGTGCGAGGAAAAATGACGAAAGGAAGCCGGTGGATAGCTGGTTCGGATGCACTGGTGTGATGGCTCGTTTGCGTATTAACGCTGCGATCTCCTCCCCTAGAGCCAGGCGCTTGAGTTCGTTGCATGGAGGAGGAGTGGAGCGGAAGATCATTCCGGACGGCGAGGAGCTCATGAACTCGAGGGAGTAGCCGTGAGCAATGGTGGAGAGGACCCAGCTGTCTGCGTTGATTTCCCGCCAGAACCCGATGAATAGCCCAGGCAGCCGCCGACGGGTTCAGGATCAGCGGCCGCCAAAGGCAAACGGAAGTAGTCACTGACGCCGTCCCCCGATAGGACCGGGGCACAGCGTGAAGATCCATGGCCGGGAGGCCGCAACTGAAAACTTTTGGGAGCCGATGTAGGAGGAGCTCACTGCGGGGCCGATGAATGAGTAGCCACCCAGAGTGGACGGCTAAAGGGGCGAGCAGCCAGTGATGCTCAGTTTGCTCATCTTCTCGGCCGTGGTGGAGGCTGACGGTGTAAAGGTACAGGTTCAAGAAATGAGATTTTCTTAGCAGTCTCCATATGTTTTTTCTCTGACTCAAGGACTTCGGTGAACTTCCCAGCAAAGAGATCAACCCCCAGAAGGGGAAGCCTATAAGCTTATTCTTGACGGACCCATACCAGATATCCATGGTGTCCATTGCGTTGGATCTGCGGGTAGAAGTGGCCAGAATGGAAATGCAAGTGAACTGTTCAAAGATCGAATTAAGTCCCTCATCAAGGCCTTGTAAAGCTAGGGCCACAAAGTCTGGAGAGACCGGAGAATCTTCTTCACAGGCCCGGGCAATATACTCTGATAGAAGGAGAAAAAAGGCCGAACATCGGAGGCTAAAGCAGGACACCGTATCAATGCAACGGAGGGACAGGTCAACAGGACAGGGTAGCTTTGTCCTTATCCCGGGAGGGATCAAAGGCTTCGCGGTATTACAGTCTGCCTGATCTATAGAGGCTGTTTTGATCTAGGAGTTGCGGTACTCTGGTTCTCTCTAGTCAAAGAGGGTATCGATCAGGTTTCGCAGTACTCCGGTCCGCTTCATTGTGATGCGATCCAGGGCCGGGATGCCTCAGCCCCGGCCTACTCGGGTGTCTCCTTGTCGAGGCCGCTAATCGGAAAATGCAAAATGCACCACAGGGGAGTGGGGCGGCTCACTAAGGCCTGCTCCGCGGCCAGACCGAACTGCGTTGGGCCGTTATTGTTCGAATGCACACACCATATAGTGAGCAAAGGGCCCTCCAACCCTTTAACGGCCATACCCACATAACACATCACACATCACGGTAGGTCACAATCAAACCTATATATGATGCACAGAAAAAAAGGGGCAGAAAAGAACCACAGAAAACATAGCATGCAAAAACGAAATAAGAAAATAAGCACTTTTAACAACAGACAAGAAAACAGTCTTTATTTCGTACGAGGAATCAAGTCAATTCAATAGCATGAAAGGTACGGAACTCGAGAATTCGAGGAGTCACAAAGACACATCCGTAAACTATAGGTGCTGAGAAAAGAAGGAAGAACATGAATGCGGGACCGCATTTCATTGTGGTGGGTCAGGGGGCAGCATGCATAATCAAATCTTTTCAGCGAATTGTAATAGGCACATGGGAAATTTGCATATGTAGGCTGGACAGGAGTATGTGAATGCTGGAGACAGAACGTCTTCTCAGTATGGCAGCTCCTGTGCATGTGTGTGAGTTATTACTGTAAAACCCACACAAAATACACTACAGGTCATTTATCAGCTAAACATACATGTACTTATTGAGACAAGCTGTCAAATGCATATATATTCCTGTGTTATTCAATGTCAAACTCGTGTTGTATATGTTTAAAGTGGTATTAACCCCTTCGCGCCGGGAAGCGGCCATAGCAGCCGTAAAATTGAGATCCTCAGCCAGCTTTTCAGCTATTATTCTCGGCCCACCTTCAAGCGAACACGGTGAAAGAAGGGAGACCCTGGTTCTAGTATTTATGGTAATTGGTCTTTGTGCATAGCCCAGAAATGAAAAGACCGATTTTGCACCATAATCACCAGCTTCACAATAGTCCCCACTTTGAAAAGAGGCAACGGGAATGTGGAAGGGTGAGTAGAGCCACATGCCACCGAAAATCAGCCTTTTCACTGTGTAATTCTAAGCAAGCAGAGCACGCAGGTCCACAAACCCAGAATTTGCGGTTTGGCAGGTGGCCTTCGTGGCCAAGCGAGGCTGGAATTCTTGGAGTCAGCTTTTCGGAAGCAATTCCCATTGTCAAGGGGTAAAAAAGGCTTCAAATATTCCAAGAGGGGTTTTAGACATACATTGGCCACCCAGAAACCAGTATACAATTGATTGATCTCCTGAAAATAAACATGAGAGAAATAAGAAGTAATTTCTTTCCACAAGCAACTGGGCTGATTTTGGAAACATACAAGGTCAAATTTTGTGTTTACGTTGGGTTGATGATGTCATGGAGCGAAAGGCACAGCAGGCATGCATGAAGCATGTACGCAGATACATGTAAGCTTGCATCAATGTAACCCCGGAATGCATAAAAATGATTTTTATGATGTGTGGAAAATGCAAAATATTATACATAAATCTTCTAGATGTATAAACCTAAAATCTTACTCTTTTAGCTGGTAAAAAAATAATTGTGAGATTTGCTTCGAAATGAGTCAGTAGGAGTCAGTACCCAGTCCGGAATCTTGGGCCGAATCGCGGGCTACATGTACCTTGTATAAATGTTTTTGCAGACACAGGATATTTGTTGAAGCAGTCCTCAAAAATCCTCAGCACAAAATTTTTCATTTGCGACAACCAGGAAAATTTAAAATCTACCCTTAAAAACGCACTGTCTGGGAACGATCGATTCAACATGGTTTTGCACAGAAACGTTGAGACCAAGTCTACGAGATTCCTGTCTGAAACTACAAACTGCACAAGACCAGGGTATGTTTTATTTATGACAATAACACAACCAATCATGCACTTAAACTTGATGGAACAATCAACATAGCATGCAAGAACCACAAAAAACATTACATTTTGAGCTTGCATCTACAATGAGGCTTGCGTAAAATACACACACTGTTGACAACCATATCTATCAATGACATTTAGGGGTCACAGGCATATCATTAATACATAATGAATGTTTCTAAACTTGGCCATACCTGTAAATGAGAAAAAGCTTCCATTTTTTTCATGTTAATTTTGAAAGATGGTCTTGTCCCCTATTGTTTAAAGGTTAGAATTGGGGGAAAAGTGTTTCTTTTGTACTAGTAATGTGGAAACTTCACAATGAGGTAATCTTAGTGACATACTTTGAGTGCGTTCCTCCCATACACTGATGCCATGTGGCCTGAAGTCAGTCTGGTCAAAGCTACCTAAAATTGACAACTCAGTCACGTTGGCATTGGGTTGGTTGAAATCAAAGAGATAGATGTGTCCTCTCCATGTCAGGGCAGATGGATCCATTGTGAAGCCCAGGGCTGCAACATTCATACCCTGGCACAAAACAAAATTATGATCAGAAAAACCGGGGTTAAAAAATAAAAAGTGATAATACAGAGATTCGGAATGATTGCAAGAACATGATGGCATTCCAAGTGAGTCAGAAAGTCTAAGTTTCACCAGATCAATAGCACTCTGTGGAAAAGTCACCTCACCTAAACCTAAGCTCTGCCTTGTACTTTGAATTTGACAAAAATTCTAAAGGCCAGGGATATGGGGTTGTTTTGGGGAGATAAATAACAACAGTAAATAAATACAGGACACGTCAAATTTTCAGCAAGATTTAATATTCTTCTCCTTGATATAATAAATTTTTATATAATTTATTACATTTAACAAATACAAAGGCACAAAATCTCAAAGCAATTTAGGGGTCAAAACAGTAGGAATATGATTCCATAAAATACCATACAATTAACAAATCAAAAATGAACAACTTCAAAATACATAATAATGTATGGAGTAAAAACTATGTTAAAGTACAACAGAGTAAAACAAACTAAGAATGAGAAAACATAAGTTACACTTAACACACAATTGCAGATTTAAACAACAATCACTTATAAGCCTGTCAATAAAATGTGTTTTCAGGGCTGCCTTGAAAGTGGAAAGTGACGCCAAATTGCAAATAGAATATGGTAGTTTGAATTTTAATATACCTTTTAGTATTTGGTGTCTTGACTCCTTAATCTCAATCGTCTAATCATACTAAGAACTGAAGCTGACACATGCAGCCTCATTTTCAAATGTGGAAGTGCGCAGATCGACGCTAAAAGCGGCGTATTGGGATCCCTCTATTACTTAACAGTGATTATCGAGTGAAATCAACATGTTGCTACTAACTTTCACTCAGTGCTGTGATATTGACAATAAGCCAATTGAAATTTTGAAAGTAATGAGAAATCTTCCAGATATGCCTAAAACTGGTCAGTAACTCTTTTTCAATTAATTTACTGACAAAAGGAAAACTCTATAAATATCAAGCTTATTTGTGTTCAAGCCAGATGTTTGTAATACACGACGTATAATGAAAGTTTTCAGAGCTGACGGAAAAACTCTAAAGGTAAGAAATTTACATGTATTTACAATTTCTAACAAATGATCTGACACAGAAGCTAAACCAGATTTCAAAAGATCATTGGGAATAGATCCAAACTAGCACGATTTACACTTCATTGAATCTTAGTTTAACCAGATGAACTGGATGATGATATCTGTAGAACACCACAGGAAACACTCATTTAATTATGACGTTGAATAATTTTACGATTAAAGGAGCCCATAAGCTGTTCAGCCAATTCTTGCTCTAGCAAAGTCTTCGCTATAGTTGCCTTTTCTCTGATCAAAACATCTACCACTGAAAAAAATGGGTTTCAATTACAGTTCCACACTTAAAAATACAGGAAAAGTTAAAGAAATAAAAGAACAACAACAATGAAGTGTTAACAAACACAAATGCCCCACCAAGCCTGAGCTTCAATCCACAACTTCAATTTTCTAACCACATTCGAATAAGACTGGTCTTAATTGCTATTTTGACATTTCCCTCGACCTTTAAGGCTTAAAATGCAATAGGCTTGTGGGATTACCAAAACCAATGCCCAGGTCATATTACAAGTTCAAACGCAAAGCATTTCTCAAGTTATTGTACAGGCATGTTTGCTATTGTTTTCACTGATTTTTTTCCACCCTAACTGTGACTCTGACCTTGGACCAATGCTGTAGGCTTCTCAGGATTATCAAGGACAATCCAAAGATGAGATATAAACTTCATACACAAAGTATTTCTCAAGTTAGCCAACTGACAAGATGGCTATTGTTTCCTTGTAACACCTTTGACCAAAATGCAGAAGCCTTCCAATAGGATCACTAAGAGTAATCCACAAACTAAACTGAAGTTGAAATGAAGTAATTCACAAGATATTATGCTGAAAAGAATATTCCGGACACAGACACACACCTTGTTTGAAAGTTCCCTTTTTAGTGTGTATTGAAAAATATTTGGTAAAAATACATGTGCTCATTTTTCTTGAACTGTGAACACTATTTGAGCAATACTTTTTATAATTTCCTTGATCTTTTCTCTATGTTTAAGTTTCTGGTTAAGAGATGTGCACATCCGATCAATTTGGATGTCCAATTAAGGTTACTAGTTCAGTTTATAACTTTGGGACCCAATTTTTTTCCGATCCTTGTAACATCTGGTGTATGATGTCGGAATGTTTAGAACACTTTCTTTTAGAGTGGCACCAATTTAACTCATTTGTTTTAGGTGGAAAATGCCTAAAACAAATAGTTATAGAAGCCTCACATTGTTCATTGTAGTCCACTGTTAAAGATAGTCTTAGTTCACATTTGCATGGCACAATGTAGTTGTTGTGAGATTATTAAGTGTGCATGTAAGTTCCACAGAGGGCACTAGACATAGTGAGCAAACAGGATCCCAAGAAGCTATCGCACATTTGCAAGTCAATTTTGTCAATCAAATCAGTCATTTTGAGCTAATTGAGACCCTAGATTCCAAACCAGCAGTAAGCCATTTTGTTATTACTCGTTTGTAGCAGACATTTATATTAGTTTGTAGATGTGGAGGGATAATTTAAGGGATAAATGGGGAAGGTTTCATTGCGGGATGGGATGCGTATCATAACCGGTTCAGGTACACGTACGTTGTAATGCGTATTTTCGGTGGAACTTGAGCATAAATTATCCTTTCATTGGGCCTATTATTCCGTCCATTCACTGTTACTTCATCCACATTATTCTAGCCCATACCCAGGTGTGGAATTTTTTTTTTGATGTGTTGTATTTAAGGCTTTAGTTTCTTAGAAGAGTGTTTTGTAGCAATAGTGTTGGCCAAGTTTGTGTCTCACGTTGACATTGTAGGTAACAGCGCCCTCTTGGGGTGAGATTGTGTTTTCTTTTCGGATTCAGTTATTATTGTGATTATTTGGTTGGATGTTCATTTCATGTTAGTGTTTATTCATTCTTGGTTTTTCTTTATTGTAGTTGACGTGACATTAGGCAGCTGTAGTAACATCATTGAGAACAGTTGTATTTTGGTGTCCATTGAGAGAAAAGAAATAAATAAGCAAAGTGTTTCTTTTAAAACCGACGTTACAATAGTAGTTTGATCAGGTTTCTTAAAGGTTTGACTAAAGTCATTAATCTTGACTAAGAAAGCAATTAGCCCAATTTTTGTGCCTTGCGAAAAACCAGTGTCAACAGTTTCCTAATGAGATAGACAACTGATGCAGCAAATTGCTTGTAAACAAGATAAGAAAAATTGGTAATCAAAAGCACTATGCAGAATCTAAGACCAAGCTGAATGAACTTTTGAATTTTCATCTGATGAGTCATTCTGTCAAAAGCTTTACTAAAATCCCTGCCAACTCAAACTGTAGCGTTATATATGGGTTGTTCCACTAAAAATTGTGTTTCATAGCTTAACCACTTCGCACCAGAGACATGGTTTTATATTCATGGCTGGGGGGTCAGTATTGGAAAATACTTATTTCAGATCCCAGCTGATGGGACATTGCAGCAAAAATTATCCACTGTCAGTAGAAAGTGATAAGCCATTCACAGTGATAACCCCATTATTGTTAGTAAATAATGACATTACCCATAGCCAGTGCCCAAGGATTACTAGTGGATACAATACCATTGCTCGTTCAGTCATTAGCAAGACAATAATGCTGTGCAACCCGTGGAAATGTGGGGTCAATACAGCTGTACACTATTCATCCTACTCAGGTGCATAAAAGTGTTAAATTCAGTCCACTGCACAAACACAGCTTACACGCACTTGCACCCTAGCTGAAGTTACATTTGGAGAAACTATTAATTCCTCCGAAAGGAGTGAATCTCTTCAAAGTTCTTATGAGGATTCATGTTTTTCTCTCCATCATCAACTCCAGCAGCTTCAGTACTGACAGCGACCTGCAGCTGGGGGTATATGCTAAGTGAAGGTCTTCTGCCTCCTTGCCTTGCCCCACTGCTCCCACCACACTGCACTGCCCACTTTCAAGTGGAAAAATAGGGACAGTATACCGCTGAAGTACAAGCTTCACTGGTAATGGCAGCATGACTCACCCAGGCCTAAATCGAAGTTCCATCTGTAGTGAGTCATTTAAGAGTCATTTCACGTAAATACCAGACACATGTTCACGGTCAAAAAATCTTTTTTTTTTTAGTTACACTTTATTGGATGAAAGGACTTGTGGTGCAAGTACATGTAAACAAAATAGACTTTTCATATCCATACATAGCCCATTGCCATGGAAACGTCTGTTAGTAATGGCGCTAAGGAAAAGAGAAAGATCATGGCAGCCGCTTCCACAGGAGTTGAGCAAATGAGGGTGCACTGCCCGGTAATCAAGGATTTAGCAAATGGAGTAATGGACTAGCAAATATTGCATATGTATTGGTAATCTGGGTAAGTTGCAAGCAGTAGACTGGACAATGGATTAACCCCAGCAAGTCCATGACAAATCTGAGTCAATCATTTCAGGTGCTGTTGAAACTAGGTCACAAAAACACATGCAATGTCCCATCAGCTGGGATCTTAAATAAGTATTTTCCAATACTGTAAGAACGTAACCCCCGTTGGGAAAAGTTAGGGCCTCGGGGTGGGCGGTGACAAGACACCCCACCCCGCCGTGGGTTGGCGGTGGCGACCCACTTACCGACGACTCTGGGAGGGTATGGGAGGATAGTATAATTAGATACATTATAGAAATCAAGAGAAAAATACAGACTATAATTCAGCTATTCATGAAGGAAAACAAAGCAGTATATTAGAAATATGACACTTGTTAACATCTATAATATTCATAATTAAGAGTGAAAAAAACAATATACAACTTCTAACAGTGACTTATAAGTTATGACAGTGATGGGTTCACAAAAACCATGTCAGTTTATTATTGGAGTAGTCAAAGAGGGTGTCGTTGATAGACCATGTGTTGAGGAAACGGGAGATGGAATTGTTG